ACTATGGACGCGGACGGCCAGCGGCCAGAGCAGCCCCCAGCAGAGCGTGATCCTGGGCATGAGGCTGGCGAGCTGCAACAAGTCGTGCGGGATGAACCCGGATGGCATCATCTTCGTGTCCGAGGGCAGCATGGTGAACTTGAGGCTCTATGGCCACAGCCTGAGCGAGATCTCTAGCAACCTGATCTCCTTCACTGAGGTGGACGACGCCGAGACGGTCCACAACTCCACCAACTGCCTGGAGCTCACCAAGGACTTAGTGGTCCAGCGGCTGGTCAACGTGAGCCGCGGGAACACGTCGGGAATGCTAGTGGTGATCACCAAGTTCTTGAGGAGGAGCGAGAACATGAAGCTGTATGCGCTGTGCACCCGGGCCCGAGTGGACGGGCCCTGGTTCAAATGGACAGACAAGGACTCCCTGCTCTTCATGGTGGAGGAGCATGGGAGGTTTCTGCCTCTCTGGCTGCACATCCTTCTCGTTTTGGTGCTGTTAGTGCTGTCGGGTATATTTTCTGGCCTCAACCTGGGGCTTATGGCCCTGGACCCGATGGAGCTGCGCATCGTGCAGAACTGTGGTACTGAAAAGGAGAGAAGGTACGCCCGCAAGATAGAGCCCATCCGGCGCAAGGGCAACTACTTGCTCTGCTCGCTGCTTCTTGGGAATGTGTTAGTCAACACCTCCCTCACCATCCTTCTAGACAACCTCATCGGGTCTGGTATCATGGCAGTCGCCTCCTCCACCATTGGCATTGTCATCTTTGGGGAGATCTTACCTCAAGCCCTGTGCTCCCGACACGGGCTGGCAGTGGGCGCCAACACTATTGTCCTCACCAAAGTCTTTATGCTGCTCACCTTTCCTCTGAGTTTCCCCATTAGCAAACTCCTGGACTTCTTCTTGGGTCAGGAGATTCGCACTGTTTACAACCGGGAGAAGCTGATGGAGATGTTGAAGGTGACAGAGCCCTATAATGACCTGGTGAAGGAGGAATTAAATATGATCCAGGGCGCCCTGGAACTAAGGACCAAAACTGTGGAGGATATCATGACCCAGCTCCACGACTGCTTCATGATCCGCAGTGATGCGATCCTGGACTTCAACACCATGTCGGAGATCATGGAAAGTGGCTATACTCGCATTCCTGTGTTTGAAGACGAGCAATCCAATATCGTAGATATCCTTTATGTCAAAGACTTGGCTTTCGTAGACCCTGATGACTGCACCCCACTCAAGACTATCACTCGCTTCTACAACCACCCGGTACATTTTGTTTTCCATGACACCAAGCTGGATGCCATGCTGGAGGAATTCAAGAAGGGTAAGGACTGGTATAGTTCCTGGTTAAGTTTCCTCTTGACACCTCTTGATCCCCCTGAAGCATCCCCTGCATGTTTTGTGTCTGCTGATTTTACCATTCTGTTTGTGTGATTGGTTCTGTATCCCTGCGTCCATCACTTCCTATGCCTTTGAGGTAAATGTTATCAGGCGTGGCAGAAACAGTTCCCAAGCCTTTGCCTTCTGCCAGGTACTGTGCTTTGTGTTTAGCTGGATCGAAAAGAGACACACTTGTCTGGAGCTGGGGGAAGGAGAGAGAGTAAGGCTCATGCCTGATTGTGAAGAGGCAAACACCAGGCCTCTTGGAGATTTAGAGGGAGGGTGAGGAGGGGAAGTAGCCGGAGAGCTGAGGATGTCACAGGGGAGGAACCGTTTGAGGGGAATCTTAAAAGATGAAGTGGCGTGGTTCTGAGTCAGACCCCTTTCGTGAGGAAGCCAAGGATGTGCTTGTAGCTCAGCAGGTGGTCCTGTCTAGCGGACCTCCTGGCTCTGCTGATCAGTGACCACCAGGAGAGGTTGGACTATTTGCACACCTCTTCCCTCGAGTTTGTTCCCAGGTTGGAGCTCTGGAAAATTTGGGGACAGGGGAGTACTGTCAGTAGCCCTCCAGCCCACAGAAGCATAGTTAGAACAATGCCAAGTAGCCGTTCCCACTGTTTAGCAGAAGCATGGAGACCAAGCTTTGGTTATTGTTCCACCTTTCCCAGGTGCCAAACATAAACTTGCCTCCCCTCCCCAACCCCCATCCTAAGCTGGCCTTCTGCTTAGTGTGTGTGTGTGTGTGTGTGTGAGCGCGCCTGTGTGTGTTTTCTAGCGTGCTCGGCTGACTCCCAGGTAAGAGGGTTTATTCCCCTGTCTCAAAGCTCAGGGCTCACACCCCTTTCCTTATTCCCAACAAAGCCTTCCTCCCTCATCTATCCTGAAACCCTAAAAGTGGCTGTAAACAAGGTGATTACAGAGTAAAAGCCTCCCAGGCTGGAGGAGGTGAGGAGGCAGAAAGGGCAACTCTTTAGAGAAGAACCTGAGGCTCATTTTGTAGGAACTTTTCTTCATAATCTTGGTCCCAGCCTTCTTCCCGTATGTAGAGCTGTTTCTGACAAAGGCCCAGGCTAACCTAGGAACCACTTTGAACCACTAGCTGTGGGTAAGCCTGGGGTCCTTTCTGAACTGGAAAGTGGTGGGGAGTCCTGAAATGGGATCAGGAGAGAGGAGATAGTCTTGCCAGATTTGGTCTTAAAAGGTGTGCTTGGGTCAAGTCAGGGTCAAGGCCAAGGGGGCAGTTGGTACCCTCTTTCGTTTAAGTGTTCTAGATGGAGCTCAGCATCAGAGCTAAGGATGTCTTGAGGATTTTAAACCACGACAGAAGATAGTCTGGGTAGCATAGAAGATTTGAGGTTGCAAACCCAGGAGCCTGTTTTGCCAGGTGTCAGAGTCGGGGCACAGGAGCAGTGGGGAGTATGTCTCATCTCACCCCATCTTGCAGCGAGGGACCCTGAACATTTTTTTCTTCAGTAGCTTCGTTAGGGACCTGGTGAAGACTCACACACAGCTTCCTTCTCACCTGCCTCTGTCTTTGAGGTGGTTGCTGGCGACTGGTGACGTATACACCCACCAGTACCTCCCCATCTGTTTGGTCAGATCTGGATCCAGCTAGTATGAATTGATTTAATTTGGTGTCCAACTCCTGATCAGCAGGGCTGAACTCTGTTCTGTGGGCTCATGCAGGGTCTGGGCAAGGCATCTTTGAACTCTACTGTCCTGTGAAGAAGGGTACATTCATTGAGTTGGAAAAAACAGAACTGGCATCTCTTAGGCCAGAGCTCTTCTGGGCTAAACCCTCCCCCACAGTTTGGTCTACCAGACTCTCCTAGACAGAGGTCTGTGCCCGGAGTCCCCGCCTTGGAGTGTGGATCCTAAGCAGTTCATGGAGAAGCAGGTGCGATCTTCCCTGTGCGATCCGGACACTGGTGATGCCAGTGTGACGCGGTGGCCACCCCTTATAACAGACCCTGGGCCTTGTCGGTGCCTTCTTGATGTCTGCAGGACTTCGGAGACCAGTGTCAGTTCATAAATTACCACAGAGGTGTCCTGCCATGTCCATGCCTCCATGCTGTGGCCTCTCCTGGGTTTTTCCATCTGGTGCCTACTTTTATTCTGAGGCTGCCCTGTAGTGGCAAACACACCTAGTGTACACTTACAACTTATAAGATTTTCTCTGCAAGTTTAGCATCTGGAAGACTTTTTTGTTTCTTGTTGTTATTAAGAAGGAACAAGTGATCAGTTCAGCACTGCCAACATTATGCCAGATGGAGTGACATATATTTTAGGGTCCTTGCTGGATCATTCACCCCCAAATTGTGTAAGGGCATTAGACCCACTATGCCGGAAGCCTTCTGCCTAGCTGTAATTATATTTCTGTCTGTTTGGGTTTCTATTTTGAGTCAGTCTTGCTTTGTAGCTGAGACTGGACTTGCCTCCCAAGTGCTAGGATTATAGGTGTGTGTCGCTAAGCCTGAATCTGTAAATTTTTTTTTTAACCAGATTTTTTTATCTCCCCTCCCCAGCTTTGTAGGCTCATTGCTGGGGTTGGGGTGGGGGGGGCACCTTACTGGTTTTTACCACTGAAAGCCTGGCCAACAGATGGGGCCTCAGTGAGCGTTAGCTGAACAAATGAATGGATGATTGTCTGCCAGGCTTCTCAGGCTTCCCTGCTCTTTGAACACACCTCGACACTCCCACTCTGGGGCCTTTGCCCCAGCCGTTCTCCAAGAATGTTACCGCGGTTTCCTTCCCCTATCTTGCCTCTTCAGCTTCGCCTTCGTGAGGCCTTGCTGCTGCCCCATTCTGGCCTCTAACCCCACATATCACTTGACCTTCCCAATCTGCCCCCCTGTGCCGCTTTTTCCTTTTCTCATAGCACCTCTCACTGCCAGCCCTGGCGCTTAGTGGTTTGCTGTGGTAGTCCGTCTCCACCCAGTAGAATATGAGATCCAAAGGGCAGGCTCTCTGCTCTGATGATTGTATCGATAGCTCTGGAATGGCCCTTGGCACGTAGTAAGGCCTCAATAAAACATTACCTAGTGAATGAATAAATGAATGAATGACTTGTTAGATTTGGGAGACAACTGTTTCTATTCTGGAAGTTTTAGAATGTCGGGGACACCAACATCTCCATCTGCACCCGGAAAAGCCAGGGGCCTCCTGTAATAATGTCTTAGTCCCAGGCCTGAAGAGTTTGGGGCTCTGAGTGTAATGCTTGAGTCCTCTCGCCAGTTCCTTCCATTTGCCTGCTGGTAAGCCATCTTTGGCCTTTTTTTGCACAGCCTCTCTCATTAAGATGAGTCATGAAATGCCCTTGCACAGAGCAGGGTGTGGGGAGTTGAATTCCCCTAGGATTAAGGCAAAGAATTCTGCTTCCTACCTCAAGACAGTTAACCTAAGATGCTTATCTGCCTTCCTGCCACATTCAGGACAGACTGCAGGTGCTTCAGGGACCTTAGGAGTAAGACTTTGTGTGGCATGAAGATATGCCAGTTCATCAAGGCCACCCAGATTCGCGTAGTTTGAACCTTGACCCTTCTACTGGAACCTCGCCTAGAACTGTTTGCAGAACTGGGTGTTGGGAGTGGGTTTGTCACAGCTTGGAATTCTGAAACAAGAGTGCCCAGTGACTCCTAGCCCGATTTCCATTTCCACTTACATGCTTTTGCAAGTTCAGAGACAGAGTCACAAATGACGCCCCCCACACACCTTAAGCTCATCTTCCAGCTTTTGCTGTGGCCTTCTCTGGGGGTAGTCCTGCCCCTCCCAGGCAGTTAGCTCATCTTTAACCGTCTTATCTTTCCCCACCCACCTTATAACCCTCTGGACCACTGTATAGCAAAGGACACAAATTACACCCAGCCGAAGCTGGGCTTATATTCTATCCAGCTTGGTCACTGACCTCTGAGGTGGCCTTGAACCTGTTAGTACTTCTCTCAGCAAGTTAGTGGGATGTAATTTGAAGGAGAAAGCAAGCTAGAAATATTTTCATTTAAAAAAAAATCCCTTCCACATTTCTGTCTGTGCCACGTCAGATTTTCCCATCTACTTAACTTTATTCCCAGAATAACTGTAAAGTCAAGGAAAAAAAAATAACAAAAAAAACACTGCATGAGTTTTGCATCTTCTCTTGATTCCTGTCATCTGACACACCTTCCTAACTTCTCCCTTACCCCGAACACCTACTTGTTTTTGCATTTGTTCAGTAAACATTTAACTTTTTGCAGTTCGTGTGTCAGACACAGTTTTGGCTGTTGGGAGTCAGAGATGTGTCAAAGCCATTTATTCACAGAGCTCACAGTCTGCCAGGGAGACAGACGTGCGGCCAAGGCTTGGTTGTGCAAATGCACAGATGAGGCAGGAGGGGCCGAGGCTGAGTGGGGTGGATGTTCAAGCGTTCGAGGTGTCTGGCGTGTGATTTGGGATGGCTAATGTGATTTACCCATGGCAGGGAAAGGAGAAGGAGGAATCGATTTGGTGAGATTGGAGCAAGAGGAAATGAAAACGAGCTTCACCCTCCGTTGGCTCCTTTGCTCAGTACCGAATACATCAGACCTCACTCTCGCCCGTGTCCTCAGATCACCCAGACTTTTTACTGAAACTCTGTGTTTCTTCTGTGCGCGCGCGCATGCGTGCGTGTGCGTGTGCGTGTGCGTGTGTGTGTGTGTGTGTGTGTGTGTGTGTGCATGTGTTGCCCTAACTTTTAGGAGTCCGTTCTTTCATTCTGCCAGTGAATTCCGGGAACCAAACAAGTGCTTTTACCCTGGTCTCATCTCACTGAACTGGTTTCGTTTTCTCGAAACAGTGTCTCACATTGTAGCCCAACTTGGCTACTGATGTGTAGCCCACTGACACTGAACTCACAGTAATCCTCCTGCCTCCGCTTTCTTGATGCCGGGATTATAGGCATGAATCATCAAGTCTGCCTTTCTGACGAGGTCC